GCTTCGAAGTATAATACATCAGATTAAATCGATTTAAAGTGGTTTTTAATGTGCATTGTGTCAGAGTAGAGCATTATCTACTCGGAACAGTTCGCACTCGCTATTGTTATGATCTAATCTGGCAGAGCGCTTGTGAGAACTTGATAACGTGCTTATTCGTGATAAAAGAAGAATCACTACTAATGAACAAGAGCAAAGATAAAAAAAACAAAGAGAAGAAGGGGACGAAAGCTATGAGTACATGTGCACACGTACTAGTAAGAGAAATATAGAAAGAAGATAGACCAGAATTGTCGTATAGTAACAGTCATACTCAAGCTGTATTATTTCATTTGTATTTTGTAGGTCTGTCATTCGCTCAACTAACTTTTTTGATTGCGTTAAAATTTAAAATAAATATCAACTAAACTAAACCAAACCAAGTCTATAATACATTAACTTATCAAATCAAAATGGATAATCTCCTTAATGATTTAGAAGAGCAACGATTTGTGAATAAAATTCGATATATCACTTATCGCGAGATACGCGATGAAATGATTGCAGAAATAAGAGATTCATTGACTGATCGACAATAAATATCCCAAAAGCTTCGGCATAGTGAAGATTAGATACGGTGACCTTGAAATATAATATCCAGAAAACGTCGCACGATATTTGGAAGTAGTCGGCCTGAGGTGCTCTTTTAAGAGAGCAAAATTATTATCGATTCTTCAAGTGATGTCAAGAGTACTGGCTTTCGAAAGATTGTAGAGAGATTTTGAAGAGGATATAGATCTTTTTATTGGTTTAGTGTGCTCAATAAGAAAAACATTTGATGGTCTTGAAGCTGCTAAAGAAGCTCATACAAACTTCGGACATTTTTTAATAAACATAATATTAGGGATTGTTTGCGATGCAGAAATAAATAGTATGTATATACTTTTCAAATCTTTATTTAGAATAAATCGAGGCGAACGAGAAATATGAGATGGGGCGGGCGGCTTGTATCTCGCTCAAACGAATCTAACTGTATACGAGAAAGCACACGTATATATATTTGGTGAATCGATAGATAGATCATCGAGGTAATAACAAAAGAAAATAATGACGAAGTACCAATATGATATCACATATATCCAAGGGAAAAAAGAGAAAAGCAACAACAAAGGAATGAGAGATAATCGACGGCCCACAACACGTATATTTTTAAGAAGTTTATATTTCTGATAAATTGACAAATCTATGATCTATATTTCAAATTAGAGAAAGGACATAATAGGCCTATGACAGATTAGATATTGTAAAATCTTTGTCTTTTTTTACGTCCAAACGAACTCGTATAGTGTAGTCCCTGCTTCTTTTAATTACATTCTTAGATCCAGCTTTTGATGGGCCTTAATTTGTTGTATTTTACTTTGAAGTACCATTTACAACCGTGGGTTGTCCGTGAGAGCCCAATGATTATGTACACCTCGTATGTAAATACATGTTATTACATGTCGACACGTGAGTTACACCAACATTTTTTTACTTGATGAGATGTCATTCATTTCCTAAATAAAATTTGTATCCGTACTCACATACTCCTCTATGAGACTATTTATCTGAATACATTCATCTTATATATAGCATTTGACTATCAATCTGCAGAAAGAATGTCGAAAAACTTCGATATTTTATTGATAAAACATTAGAAATGTGAAGAAAAAATTTAAAACTAGAAAATAAAGATCCCTGATGAAAGACAGGTAGATATACTATTGAAAAAAGTGTTTTGAAAAGTTTTTTCCTAAAGAATAATATAAAGAAAACAAATATCTCATATCAAGAGAGAAACTTTTAAAGAATATTCAAATTTCTGAAGAGAAGAAATCGTAATTACACGTGATAGTTATTCGTATTTCTCCGATAGGAATGAGTCAACGCCAATAAATCAAAAGCTTTATTTGTACTGATGAATAGTCGATGGTAGCATTTCCACTTTAGAAAAATAGAAAGACTGCCGTGATAATTATCATAATCAAAAGTCATATCAATTGACATTTTTACACTAAGCTTCAATCAGGAAATATCATCATACGCTTAAGAAATCTCAGTTTCAAAATATCTTCACTCGGAAAATATACCATTCATTTTCAGATCAGAATAATGGAAATTTTAAGATTTATCAAAATTGACTGAGCATGCTCAATGTACAAATTAAAGTTTAGCTATGCTATCTATCAATGGTTTTCTTTAGATATATTTAATGGTAACAATGATTGAATAAGACTAAAACCATTACATTTTAATGATATAATCTGTACTTCAGCTAGTTTAAACAAATCTCTCTAACTCTTCTCTATTTAATAGTACGTTACAAGATTTCATTTTTTTTATTATATGCTATTGAAATCATTTTATAATTCCGTACTTCGAATGACTCTCTGTTAAAGATGTTTCCAAACAATTTTCAATAAAAGCATTTTTCTGTTTTTTTTACACTGAGCAGAATTGACATAGCCAAATTTGGAAACTGAATTCCAGATTCGAAGCAGTGTCTGTTGCATTTCAAGTGAGAATGCATCAACTTTCCTCTTTTCACACTAAATATCGCTCATTTGTGATACCTAGAGCCATCAGTTCTGACTAATTCTTAGATCAAAACTGACTCGACTTTGATCGTTTTAGTTGATACAACTGTCGTATCTGATGGAATATGACAAGGACGTTTAAGAATCGATCGGAGTTAGCTGACAAATGAAGATTTCTCGCCAATTTCGGTTAATTCCTGTAGTTTTTAATCGCATTTCTTAAAATATGGTAATTGTACTAGTATAGAGTGTTAAAACTGGGACAGCCTTAATCAAAGAATCAGTCAGGGCTGACAGTTCTAAGTACGGTAAATGATCGATCTTTTGTGTGAAAAATCAAGAATTGATGCATCTCTAATGTTGTTCTGTTAGAACGAAAAATTCTGCAATCGAAAGCAGATGAAACTGTTGAATTTTATAAATAAAGTGACTAACTGAACTATCGAAAATTTCGTTGTAAAACAAAGAGCACTGTACCTGTTAATTTATCTTGATCATTTCTTTCTTGAATGAGATACATAGAGAAGATAATAATGGCCATTATCAAAATTGCAAACAATATCAAATAATTAACGATCTTACGAAAGCATTGCACTTTCTCCCGTAAATTTGCCCTTAGAATTATAACTACAGATTATAGTTTAAATTATAATAAAATGACCTTACTGATATGTCAGGACCGTAGGTATTGATTCTAAATCAGTTGTGCGGTTGCGATCACTTGTAAAATCAGATGATGTTATATTAGTTTGAACAGTTGACATTTCAATAGTGCTTTCAGGAACGACAATATTTCTCTTCTTTTTCCAACAGTAAAATAATTTGAACACAAGTTGAACTATTAATGGACAAATCCATTTGAAAACGATTGTCAGACCACCGTAAAGACTCAGTAGAAGAGTTATCATGTAGATTAAGTTAATCTTTTCGACATAAGTATAGGAACACATATATGGCGAACATTGTTCAAAGTATGATGAGTAATTTATTGTTGTTAACCAATCCTGAACAAATAAGTTATTGATGAGATCGATCATGGTAGTATTGACTGAGAATTGATTCATAGGTATAGAAAGAGGAATAGAATTATTGTTATTTGGATAATTCATCTGTTCATAAATGAGATCAATACACGTAGGATCATAGAAGCATTCAAGAGTAGAAGCAAGAAATGATTCACTTGGTGTACAACCCATTTTCAAACCTTTGATTGGAACAGTGTCAGATGAATTCATTTTGATGAAATGAGCTTGTATTGTACAGCTTGAGTTTAATGCACATGAACAGTTACCGTTATAGATCTTTGCTTGAGTACGCGAAAGAGTAAATAAGCCCGCGTCATATCGATTAAGAATATAATCGTAGTTGGTTCCATAGGCTGACATGAATGCATTTCTATGATTCGTACTTCGAAGTAAAGAGAAAACTCGTGAGAATAATTTAGGGGCATCTAATTTATTCTGTTCAATGAGCAGATCAATGCGTGTATGAAAAGTTGTTTGTGGTAGGAGTTGAGCACTGGCCCATAGTGAAGAAAGAAATTGATTGACAGAAGTATTGATCAATTGCATAGAAGTTTGACATAATTCAGTGAGGAAATGAAAATGAGCTGAGAAAAATCGATGATAATCTGTCAGAGCATAGGGAAATAAGTCTGATGGAATATTAGCTGTAACATTTCTTCGCCATTCATCCGAGGCAAATGGACTTGAACAAATCTATAATTAATCAAAAGAAAAAATGGAATTTATTTTTATTTCTTATCATTGTATACAAATCTGCTAACAAAGCTATAATCAATGACATACTTTTCTCTTTTAGTAAGGGATCATCCTGTTTATTGTAACTGACAGAAAAAAATCGTTTGTCTTGTTTGAAAGAAAAAATATAAATTGATAAAATTCATCGAAGGGTATCATCTTTGAAAAATATATCCAGAGTGAATGAACAAATAAAGATTGTCTGTCAACAGAATATTCACTACCTATTTGATCTTTGGTGGACTGAAAACAATAAAACTAAATTCTGCGTCAAATTTATGACGTAAAATACAAAAGAACTAAATACTTTTTTTTGATCTAATGTATAAGCAACAAATCTAAAAATGCGGTTGGATTGTACCGTTACTTGAGCAGTGAATCGAGAGAGGAACTTCAATGGGATGTCGACGATCAAAGAAGAGCATGTTGTTCTATTTTATATGTTAGACTGTTTTATAGTATCTCTAATCATAGTGTGCACCAGCATAGCTCGAGTGCACACAAACCGCGCTTTTTTGAGAAAACAACAATGTGCTTTAGAGTGAAGAGAAATAAAGTGAGAAAAAATGTGTTCGTATTCTTGTAAGTGTGTTTTCAGATGACTACAATAACATTCTGAAAGAAGTCAAAATTAGTGTAATAGTTCGTAAATAGTATATTCAACTTTTTATAAATCAATATTTTGTTCCCAGGATCAAGTCTATCGAGGAGACAGTAGACGGGATCTTATTTGTAACTGATGTTATGTTTTTATCAAGTTTAAATAAACATTTTCGAGACGGCAAGATCCACTATGGAGTCAATTTGTCAGAGATCGTACTTAGTTTTGGAAATCAAGATGTAAGTCATTTGATAGATAGTTTGAAATTAATTGAAACGTCGGGAATGGCAGCTCGTGGGAACACAGACGATCGACGAGGCGCTGCAAAGATGACATTGCCTAATGGTTGTATTAATGGAAAATCTCAACAAGTTATATAGATGCCTCTGTTCAGTGATCTGTTAAGACTTGAACGATGAAAAGATTATCAAACAGTCTGAATCAAAATGTTCTGAAAAATACTTAATAGTGAGTGATTGATTTTATATAACAGACGTCGTATTTGTTCTTAATCTTTATTATTTCTAAAAGGAATTTGAAAAAGGAATAATGGTACTATAGATTAAGCTAAATCTATATATGGTGCGGGAAGTAGATCAGGCAGGATTAGCGAATCGAAGAGATGCCATCGACTGGGTATGGGTCCCTTATAATACATCAAATCAGTAAATTGCATTATAAAACTTCTAGGTTGAATCATTCTGTAAAGGTTAGGGTGTGGATATGGAGGTGGATGTCTTCACTCCTCGCCCTCACCCACCCAACACTCACGCCATCACGATGATGGCTCTCTTTTGATCGCATTGACTTCTTTTCTTTTGTGATTCAGGTTTTGACTTCGAGAAGATTATTTTGACATATGTTCGCATAAAGTAAGGCTATTGTCTTTATTTTCTCAATAAACGTTATATCTCTTAGTTTTTGCTTATCACCCCTGTTTTATTTGCTATCGTTTCATTCTGAGTATTTAATTCTGTTTTATTGATTTGTTAAACTGATAAATATAGAATTGATGAAGCAACAGAAGTTTTTCCTAATTATCTATGATGAACTCAATCAAGATCATAGTTTAAATAACCAATCATTTTGCTATGCAATAATGATCGATATATTTTCTTTCGCGTGCGTAATCTGTCGAAATTCAAGTTGGCTTCCCATTACAATAAAATGACCATATGTTCATTTTCTTACCTGATGAAACACTGGTTCTATTTTGATAAGTTGTTTATACATCGATGAAATGAACGTACAAGGACATTGAAGTGTATTGGGATGATCATTGATAAGATCGTTGTAGGTATGAAGAGATGGTTTGTTGACAGTTTTTGTTAGAGTTTGTGGCCAAATTACAACATAGAACATGATCAGTGCAACACTTGTGACGAGAAAACCAATGTAGAGACGCGTTGACCATTGACCAAGACGTTTGAATGTCATTTGATCAATATCAGTGGGAAAAACTCGTCGTGGAAATATATTAAGATTAATTAATAGTGAATATAAAGATAAAAACATATTCTTCAGTATCAATGGCAGACGTTTGAATATATTCACTCGAGCTGCATCTAATAAAACAAAGAATATATTTACATTTAGTAACAATTTACAAGATGAACAAAACAAATACTGAAAATATGTTTCTTTTTCTCTTTGTATTCCCTTAACTGAAGAAAGGTAATTCGAACATTACTAAAATACTTTGTTTGTGTTTGTCGCGGATCAAAAGTAAAAACAAATATCAGCTAAAAAATCTTCTATTAAGAAAACAATAATAGCTTGTCTATAGAGTTTGATCGAAAATAATTGAAATCGAGGAATCCATTGATATTATTAGTTCATTTCTCTCAAAAACTCTACATGTAGACGTGGATACAATAACAAACTAGTTTCCATAAAACGGTCTCCGGTCGTATTTTGAGGTGGAAAATTCAAATTGGATATGGATTTCTTTGATGGATTAAATTAAAAAAACCGATTTTATTTGACTATATTTGTTATAAACTAGTCTGATTTCTCGATGAAACATTATTTTTTCAATTAATGTGTTTTTTTCTACATGCTGTACACTATTTTGAGAAATTAGTTTGAATTTTTGGTCTTGAATACTGTCTCTATTTATGACACTACACAGATGATCTGATTTACGTCAATGGATAGAAAAGAAGCACAACTGATTAGATAAAAAACGGCATATAAAACAATATACAGCTAGAACTAATAGGATCGCTGATTAACTTTTCAACAGAAGCAACTTTTTTGATCAATAAAAAAATAACTTCTCGCCGTTCATTTAAGAGTTTTTGTGAATGAGAATCTTTCCGATGGTATTTCGAAAGTCCTAAATTTATTCCTGATTTATTTCTATGCTACGATGATTACACATGAAGTAGATCATCATATAACAGGCATCAATCAATGATTTATGAAGACATTTCATACACGATTACCTTGTTCTTGTCTTTGGACAGTTGGTCTAAGCATGTAATAGACGAATTTGACGAGTTGAGGTGTGATTAGGTGTAACACTACAGTAAGACCACCAATCATAGATATCATTGTTACTAGTATACCAAGGAAATTATCTGTATGTGCTTTATAAGAATAAGTACAATAGGATGGTAAACATTTTTCATAATATATATTGAACGAATAGGAAATATTCCACTTTTCGACCATTAATTCTTCATTAATCGCTGAAACCGTGGTATTCGGGGGAAACCGACTAGAAACTGGATCATAAATGAGGGCTTGGCTTGTAAAATCACTGCCTAATGAAGTCTGTTTCATATAGTTCAATAGAATTGGTAGACAATTCGAACTCGAATAAAAACATTCGAGTGTTGAGTAAAAAAGTGAATCAACAGGAAAGCAACTTGCAAACATGCCTGGTATGGAATAAAGCACATTCGTAGTTAATTCAATACCCTCGTATGGTTTTAAATCATAGATTTTAGATGGTGCTTGACAATAAAAATTAGTAGCACAAATACAATCACCGAATGTTGAGTTGAATAGGCCAGAGAGGATGAATTTCAGCTTGAAAAAAAGTGAGAATAAATGGATCAGAAAGTCTTACTCATTTTGTACAGTTAGCACAAAATATTTTGAGACATTAAATAATTGCTTCTCAAAATTTCAGAGTACATTCAAGTTAAACCTTATGTCGGTCGTTAATGTAGTTATCAACTTCGGTTTCATATTATACTATGCAGATGCAAAACAACTCGTTGCAATATAATGAAACGAACAAAAATCATTCAGTAGAAAAAAGTTCTGAAACAGTTTTTGCTGAACTCATCTGTTAACTTTTATATAAATGAAAATAGTACTATTAGATAGCGCATAAAAAAACGAGTGTATCCGACGTATTTTCATTATCGAAAATAAACGAAATAGACAGTTTTCGGAAAACGGTTTTGTGCAGGAAAATCGTAGTGTTATTAAGAAATTGTTCATAGACTATTTTAAATCACAAGAAGCTGCATTTGCTTTGTTAATTATAAAGAACAATAGAATAAGTCTTACAAAAAAATACGACGAGCACACTCAATTTTTTTATACGCTGTCTAATGGCACTATTTTCGTTTGAACAAAAGTTAATGTCTGATTTAAGAGAAAACTGTTCCAGTACTTTTTTCTATTGAATGATTTTTATTCATTTGATTATAATACAAAGAGTAGTTCTAAATCTTCATAGTACAATATGAAATTTTAGTTAATAACTATACTAATCAACAACATAAGATTTAACTTGAATGTAATCTGAAATGTTGAGAAGCAACTATTTGATGTCTCGCGTTTCTTGCGCTATCTGTGTGATAAAAAACTTCATACTCATCGATGGCATTGTAGAATTGTCTCTATATAAAAAATGTAAAATAAAACGCGCTATACAGACTGTCTATAAATTAATTCCTCTAGGTCGTTTAATAAGAGGGTTATAAGTCAAGAAATGTCTCTTCATTTAAAAATCAATTAACTATTCATATTTAAAACTTTAAAAGATGAAATGCTATGGCACGTGTGACTCGACCAATCGATGCTTATTGAAAAATCATTAATTATCATGGTAATGTAAACCATATTTTGACATCATTCAAAAATTTCTCTTTTACTATTTCGTAGAATACAAAAAGTTGTAGAACGTGTGTAAAACTCAGTCCGATATCTCAAGAAATAAGCGAATGGCATTCCATACACTAAAAAATTGCCACACTTTTCACTCGAAAAATAGTCGATATGCAATAGTACTTGACAAATACTTGTACATTAGTCCATACAAATACAGTGAGGAATAAATAATTTTGCCCAGCATGTCGTGCTCTATCATTTCATATATAACACAAAAGATTTCTTTAACTTTTTATTATCCAAAAAAACTCATATTTGTACAGTCGATTTTGGATAATATTCTTCATATACGCTCGTGATTGTTCGAAAGTCGAATTCGGTTAACTTTAAGTCAACTTCACAGAATATGCTAAGAGACAGAATTTATTGATTTCACTCTGAAAAAGACGCCGTATTGTCGAATCCACTTCTCGATAAAAAGGTTTTGCAGTGTACCCCGATGACAGAACTTCTGGAAAATGGTTCAGAACAAGGAAAAAGGTTTCCAAAAGCGGTTTCAGAACCATTTTTATCAAAAAATGAGTTCTTTAAACCGCCAGTTTTCTGAGTGGATGATACTGAACAAGATGAGAATGTCAAATCTAAAATCAAATTTTGACGAGTCTTCAACTACACGACAGCATCATGGATATTCTCCTTAATACTCAGAATAGAGAGGAAGCCGAAGAAGTTTCTGTTTTTTATATTGTAGAAAGACATACTTGTGGAAATTGTGACTCGTTTGTTTCATTTGTGTAGTAATTGAGCCATAGTCGTGCGTTGGTACTTTGATAATCGTCCCCGTAGACCCCTCCAAAAGGCTGATCAACTTCCATGAACAGTTTCATGGTATTAATGATTTTTTTATGACGAATGTTTGTTGATTCAATTAATTGGCTAATAGTTTCATTTAACTGAGCATTGAATTCATCTTCGTTCAGGAGATTTGAAGTGATAAACGATTGTGCAACAAAGTAGTTGATAGCATCATTGACTGTTGTCTGAACTAATTTACAAAGGCTTGATAACAATCGAAATTGTATGCCAGCTATAAGACGCCAATCATTGGGATTATTAGCAATGCCATCACTAGAAGCCGCAGAAATCCAGGTATCAGTGACGAAACTACTGGAACAAACTTGATGAAAAGTTGGGGACATGGAGACGATTGTATGATAAGGCATTACCATATTTGAACATGGACATTTGAGTGTATCTTGGTATAGATCATATAAATGTTTGTACGTATTTAATGGAGGATTTGAGAAAGTCATGGTCATCGTTTGAGTATTTAGCGAATTGAATAGGAGAAGAACGAGAAAACAGCCTAGAGACACAAAGAGAAAAATAAATATATGAGCTAATAGGAATAGTTAGCTATGTCATATAAAGATCTTGCATTTAAGGATAATGTACAAGAAAGAGCGATCTTTTTGAGTCTCAAAGCTGAATCAGTTTCATAGATAGAGTGAAGGTGTAAGCGTGAATGAACAATAAATCAAACATCTTCACATCCACATGCTCAACATAGCTAATTATATTTTGTGATGGTTCCGAGTGATTATATGACGTTAAAACAGATGATGAACCATGAATTTATTACAGGTAGATTTGTCACAGATCTATAAGCACCAGCTAGGCTATCGAAGATGAATCACGAACTACTATTGTTACTCAACTCAGTTTGAACCAAACCGTGTTTTATATCCTTTAAAACAAACACTCCTGTGCTTATAGGTGCTGTTCCGATAGAAATATGGAAGCAAAGAAAATCATCAGATTCAAAGGGTATACGAATTCTGCAAGACAATACTCGATCTCATACTTATTCAGATATTGTTTGTTCTTTGACAGGAAAAGGTCTCTGTATAATGTCCTGTGAGCCATACTCACTTAATCTGATACCGTGGACTTATTGGCTGAATGTGTACATCTAAGCTAATTTAATTGGCCAAGCAAATGACAAATCATTGACTCGTATGATTTCCAAGGTAATGAAAAAAGTATTGCAGAAGAATAGTTTCAAAATACTTATGGGAAGTTATTAAAAAGAATAGTACCTTGTTTAAATCATCATGGAGCCTATTTTGAATATTTATCAAAATAAAACTAAAACTTTGTCTTTATCGCTATATACTTCTTTACCGATGATAGAGCTTTTGGTTAATTATAAGTACAAGATTTAGTACACTATCACTTGATGCCCATAATCTATTTTCAAAATAGGGAAAATTTGTATCATTGGTTCCTTACATTATGAAGTTATCAAATTTATTACGAAGCATACTTATTTTCGAGAATAATGACGAGAGGAATGTTTGCAAAAAAAAACAATCATACCCGAAAACAAAATCAAATAAAGACGCGTTGTAATACGTTGTTGTTTAATATTATCTGCTGATCGATTATTAGCTGATTTAAACAAATTCAGTTGTTTTACCCATAATACAAGGTTACGAATATATGCAACAACATGCACTAGAAATCACAAATATGAAATGAATTCAAAATAAGAGTTTTAATTATGATCAACAAATACCTAAGTCAAAACGAATATTTGCTGAACGATGTTTAAATTTAAATAACATTTTGATGAGAAAAATTGATATTAAACGTAGTATGATAATCAGACCACCATAAAGACTGATCGAAAGAGTGACTGCATAAGAAAAATTGATAAAATCCGTTGTACTATACGTGCAAAATGACGGAGCACATAAGGAAAAATATTTGGAATAGTTGATCATCGTTAGCCATTCATCAACGAACAGATTATTTAAGTGATCATTGACAGAAACACCCGGTATATGTCCAGATAAAACAGAATTTGACCAGCTGATGTTTATCTAGACAAAAAGAATTTATAAAACAATTCAAATAGAATCATACATACTTGATTAAGAGCTGGAAAATAGTTAGGTAGGTTTTCAAGACATTTGACATAGTACAAACAATCGAGTGTACTTACAAGAAGTGCTTCGAGCGGAATGCACGCTGCAAAGAATCCATCAACTGTTACAGAACGCCAAGAGCGAATGGAGATAGAAGGACGAGTGAAATCAAAAAAACCATATGTAAAGAAGTAGAAACCAGCTGGATAGATTATCATTTGTAGTGGACAATAACTTTGTGAAGAGGGACTGTATAGTTGCGCCATAAAACGTATACCGCAATAGTATGAGGGACAAGATGACGTGACCAGCGTATGCGTATTGAAAGCCGAAACCAATGAGTTCGATAGTTGCATTTCCCGAAGATAAGTCAGTGGTGAGTTGAATTGAACAGATGTACTGTTTCGAAGCTGCTGAATAGTTGCATTAACTTGAGCTTGTAACTGATACTCTGAAAGCAGCTGAACAGTAACTAACTGATCACTGTCAAGATCAACTAGAGATTGCAGGACTATGTTTTCGGAAAGCGAACAAAAGTCAGCCAGAAATCCAAACTAAAATCAAAGAAAAACAAATTAAAAGAAGATGGCAAACAAGCCAAAACTCGTATGCGAAATGCGGTGCGAAGTACGGTATCGAGAAATCGATAGTTCAGAAATAAGCGAAAAATCGATCTTCATAAATACCGAGTAGAATCCTCTTTTCCCTTTTTTTAAATCATCCGACAGAATGTGAACTGCTAATAATGAAAAACAACTTTTACCTCACGCAAATACTTCTTTCGGATCGTAAATTACGAAAAATTTCAGATTAAGAATGCCATTTTGGAAGCTAAATAGCAGAGTTCATAGACAATGGCGAGACCTTTAAAAATACTGTTGAAAGTTTTCTTCGAGCATGCACAGATTAAAAAAATTGATTAACGGTTCCTTAGCGACGTGACAGAATACAAACATACGAAACGAAATCTGCTGTGATAACTGAATGAAAAGTAGCAGACCAATTCGAAAAGATACAAATCTTTTCGCGGAACGTTGAGATAATGATAAGACAAAAACATTTTCATTTTGGAGCTTTTTGGAACCTTAGAAAATCCAATTCTATGAGGAAAAGTTTTAGCATAGGTGTGGCTGGTACTTCAGAGTCTATTCCAAAATTTTTAGATCTTTTACATATATCGTTAAAGAGAAAAATTGACTAATTATTTCAGAATTAATTTATTTTAACTAAGCGACAGCTGAAAGTGCCAACGTTTTTACATATGCTTTTACTGAAAAAATTTATTCAAAAGGAATATTCTTTCCAAAAGTTAGAGTCAAATGGAAGCGATACATGTCCTATTCTCCCTGCTTTTGCCCATCTTGTTTGATACAAAATATTATTTCCCTCTCTCAGGGTAACTAAAATCTGAAGGTGCTATCATAAAAGGTGCCTATTAGTCTAGAGCAAACTTTGTAATATCTATCGAAATGTCTAAGAGAAAAAAGGAGACTTTTCGATTTTTCTGTTCAGAAGTTGATTTTCAGAAAACGTAAAAAAGTTGCATTTTTTTGGCTTTTTTGTATGAAATGAAATTATTCTCATTTTATGTTTTTAGAATTTTTATTTCAACCGAGTTTTATTGTTTATCGACAACGGCAGATGTTCTGTTACATTACAAATCTTTACTTACTTGAGTACTACCCGTTGTTCGAAAATCCATCGGTAAATATATACTTGAATCAAACAAATAAAGTGCTTCAATCCATTGTTGACTGACAAAAAGACTTGAACAAAGAGGATGAAATGAAACATTATTGGTAACGAATTCATTGTAGGGTATAGTAATTTTCGAGCATGGACATGAGAGTGTTTCGCCATGTTCACGACGAAGCTGATCGAAGAGAGATGGTGTAATACTCGAGATGGTAACTGTTCGAGTTTGTAGGCTCATCGAAACAGTGAAAATGAGAATATATAGCGTCACTATAAATGAATAAAAGAAATTCAATGATTTTTGAAATTGATCCCGAATCGTTTTGTTCTATTTTTTTAGTTATTAGGTATTCACTTGTATTTCTTGATAAAACTATCCCAATTCATCACATTTCAGCTTGGTAAGCTGCAAGAATTAATATATTATAGGACTATACATAAATGTAAGAAAACACATAAGAATTCATCGTTTTAGATTACGTCTTATTTTTATCTTTCTACTAGTCTTCTAATATAAGATGAAATTAAATCTTTTTGATGAAAATCTGATTATCTTATACGGTACGAGATGTAAAACTTATATAAACCGGTACGAACCGATAATCTCTGATACATCTGTGTATATACTTATAGGAAGTTTGTCTTTTGTAGACTTTATTTTTTCTAGTTTTAGGATGAGTAAAAGAAAAATAGAGAAGCAATATAAACGTTAATCTCTTGCAGTAACTACTTTTATGAATAATAGATGTGAGCATAACTAATAAATAGACAGCAGATAAGAGAAATAAGTAAACGTTCATTAGTATCATTCTCTCGGAAGATATTAATATAAATTAGTGGTGATCTGGTTATACCGAATGTTGCTATGTTAGTTTTTCATTTTCTTTTGATTACTATCAGCTAATTAAAAGAGGTATGCTGAAAGACGAATATCTTCAGCAATTTAAATTAAAGTCACTTGTTATTCTAATATGTCTTTTTGTCCAGAGCAAACAATCGAATCGTAAGATTCACGGAAGATTCTTACACGATCATATAATATATCAGAGCAAGATCACCGTTCATGCAATTTTACATCAAGACTAATCATAAATTACGTATAAGATCCAACAATCTGATCTTTTATGATCAGAAAAGATCCTATAGTACGATTTCTATGGATTTATTCATAATTCTGCATCAATGCTAGGTCTGTATATATATTTGTTAATTGTATCAAAGATACAAAATTATAAAACTTCCTATATCTTAACGTGTATCATTAAAGATAGTGGAAACAACAAATGCATTTCTATTCTAGTAGGATAGAAATAAACAACCATTGCTGAAGAATCTACCCGAGTGTGCAACTAGCCAGTCGGAGAAATTCTGTAAACTTATTAGGCGCAAGGAACGTTTTTTGAAAAACTATTTTTCGTCCTTACAGGAATTCTATATTATCATGCGTTCTTTTTCCTATTGTTGTTAACAAGTAACGCTCGTCGCTACAACTCGCTTGACCATTGACTGAAATCGATGTAATCATCATCTATTAGTGTGTGTTGCTTTCTGTTTTGACAAGCGTCCCTTCACGTGCGTGCATATACAAGCAGCTGGTCAGTATCACTAATGACGATCATTTTTAAAAGACTCGCTCTTCTGATATTTTGTGAGGATTTCTACAGAGACCAAAACACACAGCTCGTAGTCGGTTGTCGACGTCCCTCTGGACCGCGGTTTAATTCGAGAAGTCGATCATCGAAGACACCTTCCTAATTTTGTAGTAAAGAAAGGGTGATATAAGCTATATCTTGCCAAGATTTTAGTTGAGATTGTTGTGAAAATCTACAAACATAAGCGTACGAAAAAGTTAATTGAGTATTCCCTATGAAAAAATATTTTTATTATGTTGAGTTTATACGAATAGATGGTTCAAGTATTGTTCTTTCAGGTGGTAGAAACCCATCAACTGTCTAACTGGACTTTGAATATAAATGAAAATTAGTCTACTCGGTATAACCTAGAAGATAAACGAGGAAAATGTGAGCTAGAACTTCAGTGTATAATAGAAATAGATCTAGTTTAATTATTCGCCTTTATAGGTCATACAAATGTTTCTTGTAAGAATAGAAATTGGTAGGAACAGACAGGAATAGATTTTTTTTAAAGTTTTATTTACTTATAATTGACATATAGTAGTATATCTATTTATTAATAAGAATCATAAGTATAAATAAGTACAACGATCTTTTTGTTCAAGGTAAAATTTTACACTGAAACTTGTTTTTTACATTTCCATTTATATTCAAACTCGAATTAGGCAGCTATTTTAAGAACTGCAGTTTCCCAGCTTGTTCCTATCAAAAATTAGTCGTACTAAAAGTCCAGCCGGTTACGTCTGGATCACTCTTTCATTTCGCTTTTTCCAATTTTACTCTACGACAAAATGTTTCACAATCTTCTTCGATCTATTTAAGTTTTTAAACACGTTTTCTCTGACCATACACTCGCATATCTGATAGGACTTTATGTTTCTGCATGCTATAGGTTTCAATCATTTAGAGCAACAATAAGTGAATCATTAGTAACCTTTGTTATTTAAAACCGTTGACTTTCTATCATTGTTATATATAGTTTTCTAAAAAAAGAAGCCTACTTACCGATCAAAAGGAGAAGGTATAATCGAGTAGTATAAAGTTGACGCTTGAGAACGATTGCTGGATTTTCTGGTATATCCGCAACGTCATTATCATCTTCATCGTTGATGAAAAGATTATAACTGCGTAGTCGCTGAGCTAATCGACTACACAGATTTCTGAGATTCATCAGAAATTCTAAAACTAAAAAAAAATGGTCAGTATATAGTTATATTTTTCATCCTTGAAATCAGACGTGTATCATATACATAGAATTATAATAATCACTTCATTTCTTTTTTTTTAAAGAAAATTGTGACTCTCTCTCTCTGTGTTTATTCTTGATATATCACTTAGTGCTTCCTATTCCATAATTACTTACAAAAGACCTTATAGGACGTGTTGCGATTAAATCATTGCTTGTGTAGAGTTAAAATATAATCTAAAACAAATGTGTTGTTTTAATCTGATTTCGGCATCCTAACGGTACTTTGTAGAAAAAGAGGAAAAAAGAGGTTTCGCAGTTGCAAAAAAAAGAGGATTTTTATAACAAAAGAGGAGAAAAGAGATGTATAGTCTTGGCTTGTAAAATGTCGATAAACCTTCACACAATCGACAAATTAGTGCTTTGTTATCAGCTTTCAGTATTTGCATGACAAACTTAAAAAATGAATAGTGTGATTTGGTGATAGTTATGGTCCTACAATTCATATTTTACCGATCTCAGAACGAGACGCTTACGAAAAAGTCATAGGAATTGTTGCAAAACTATTCTAGTGCGATATCACGTTAATCGAATACCTATAGAGAACGAATTGGAAATTAGGAGTAAATCATGTAGGAGAAGATCATTTTGATTTCTGAATATAATGTGATCCTGAAAGAGAGAACATGCGATAAGTTTTTGAAATTCGAGGCGCATCCTCAGTAGTTCATTGTCCAGATTACCGATCAATCATTACCAAATCAAAAGATCTTATTGAAATGGTTCCCAATTATTATCAGTGCATATTCGGTTCTCAACATAGACCCACTCTGGATTTTCAATTATTTCTGAGATAGAGAAGCTAGAACTTTGATAAAAATATGACATTTTTCGCAGAGTATCCTGGCTAACCTTTTCCGAAATACATAGTAAAGATACTGTAATTAGTACTTTTCTTTGAAAGTTTTTAAAAGAAATACACTCATGATTTTATACGAAAGATAAAGGTAAAGAACACTTTCTGTTGGAATTTTTTCATGAGACTTAAGAGCTTTTTCAAGAAAGGTTAAAAGTTTTAGCAAAAAAGTCAAGATTTGTAACAGAGGAAGACTGTCGTCATCTCCTTCTTGGTCAAGAATTCTGGTCTCTACTTTGAACATTTTCAGTCTTGTTATAGACATTTTTGGTTCGAACTCTATTCATTTATCCAAATGAACTAACATTATCCATTATTTTTTCCTAATCCTTAAGTTTTTCTTAAAAAAGAGAAAAAAGAGGATTTTATAAAAAAAAGAGGAGGAAAAGAGGACTTTTTATAAGAAAAGAGGAAAAAGAGGCGGAGTGGAAAGCCAGGTCTGATTTTATCAGTATATAAAGCATGAAATAAAAATTTGATTATGAAACACTTTTGTAATCTGAATACTCATGGAATGACATTTAAATTCTAATGTTATCTACAAAAAACAGTCACTCCAGTTAAGTTTTCTCTTTTCTTTTTACTTACTCCATAAGAACTCGAAATATCAACACGAAATACATCGAAAAAAGAAGTAGATGCACTATCTGTCTATTCTTAAATGCATGAAAAGCGTTTTGACGTTGAAAAATTACTTTATAATATTTTTCATTTTTATTTTTATTTTTATTTATATCTGCATTTATTGTTTCCCATGAGGTTTAGGAATTATGGTACAATAAAATAAGGGAAAAAAGAAGATTATACAAGGAATAATAATTAGTTGTCTCTAAATACAGTTTTATTCCGCATTCATCTTTTTCTCGGGACGTACTAGATAGACAAGAGAGAATGAAAAGGTATGCATATATGCATATAGAAGAACGAGAAGGAAGAGAGAGAAAAAGAAATTCAATTATAGATGTGTCGATTTAATCAATTAGTTATTAGTCGATATCTATTTGTGTGCTTACAAATTAGAGTTATAAAATTATGGAAGATATAAATGCTTAAGTATAAATCTCTCAATGACAGAGGACGATTCTTGACAAAATTTAAGTTGACTATCTAGGATGTTAAAGAATGTGAAAAGATCTAAATTTGAACGATGTGCCCTTGTTGCCAAACAATTAGGAAATTGACTATTTTTTCTAAAATCTATAAACTTGCAATGTATACAATTTGGACATGTTGCAATTGGACATGCTTCCCAGGTAAACTTCATAATATGATCAGTTTCTTACATATATTATTCTGAGCTGCAGAAGGAATAGCTTTTTAAAAAATAAACATCTTCATACACAGATGGATATCAAAAATTAGTTTATTCTTTTTCGTAGAGTAAAACCACTCATTTTCATAACTACTACCAAATGAGCAAATTATTTTTCTAAAGCTTTGTTATAATAAAAGTAATCTAATTTTCTTGCCTTTCCTATAACACATTAGAAGGAAAACTGCGA